CTGGTCTATGAATCTGTTTTTGAAGAAGATGGGAAGGTGTCCTTTACATCCCTTTCTCTGCTGTGGAAATTGAGACTCAGAGAGGATGTGAGAGCTGTACACACACGATGATAGTCCCATGGGTTACGTACCTTCCTTCCAGTTCCCACTCCTGAATTTTCCATCACAGTGTGCCAGAATATGACCATCTGCATGCACAGGCACCATGATTAAGCTGACAGAGATCACTTGCCACACTGCTGTGGCTCAGATGCCTGCTGGGCCTCAGACACCATGTCCCCAGGCTCAGACAAGGCTGTAGGCAATGCCCTTCCTTCATGTTGCTAAGCCAGGCCCAGGGTGACAGCCCAGGTCTTCCTTGAGAGTCTCTAGGGAGGGACTCTGGGTCTTAACAGCCCTTGTGGCACCACGAGCACTCATCAGGGAGACAGGGATCCACTCCTAGGAGCTCTCTTAAAGCTTGACTCTGCTGCTGGGCTCCAGGCCCTCTAGCTAAAGCCCTGACACTGTCTAGTTCAACCCAAACATGATGAGGAGCCAGGGCTCAGGTCCCATGCAGGAGCATCTCGTGACTGTCCCATGCTCCTCCTCATGAGATCATAGCAGTGTGTTCACAGCCAGGCAAGCTAAGAGTGAAACTGCTTGAAAGTAGCATGCTCTCCCTCCCACACTTTTCCCCCCACTTCTCTAGGGCTGTGACCATCACTGTCAAGGAGTGAAAGTGAACACCTCCTCCATCACCTCCCACCTCTGGCCTCTGACTTGCCTCGAGTGAAGGTACCTGTGAATGTCTCAGCCTCCTACCACTTTTGTCCATGTTCTTCTATAGCCTACAGGGCTAGGGAATCCCTACTTTTGAACATTTTGTGTATTCGTGTACATTTGATGTCTACTGCCTTTATCAGGCATGTCTATCAGGAAATTCTATAGGGCAGAATTTGCAAGGAAAGAAATGCAGGAATATCATCTGCTCTATAGGTAGGCTTAGTACTTCCTGCCCAGCATTGTTACTCCATTGTGGTACCCGATTCCAGATCTTAAACTCTATTGCTTAAACACCTCTCCATTTAAACACAGTGATGGAGATTAACCTGAGGGCAGTGTTTAGTCTGTAGCAGCGATATCTCTAGGAATCATGGAACAGGAGGGAAAAAAAATCTCGCTCACATCAGCCCAAGTCTGCTGATTTGATACAAAGCAAAACCTCTTACAGGCTTGTAATGTGAACAAATTAAATAAAGACCTCACTTATACACTGAGCAGTGGTTTCCCACAAGGCCATTTTTACAGACATTTTTCGGAGTAGAACCACAGTTTAAGGGGAAAATAAGTGCAGATGTAGAACAACAGCGTAGTTTTGAGAAGCGCACGCATACGATTGGCAGGAAACTCAATGCAAAGGTTATAGTTAAAACAACATTATTTGGAAAGTACCAGAAATAACCTGCACAGCTTCTAGAGACCTTCACTGTGTATCCTGTCAGGAAGCGAACTTTAGTGGCCGCCAGGGCATCTCTGCCCTCATGCCTTCATCTCCTGCTGGTTCTGTGCCCTTTCCACTGCTCCAGTCCAGAGGGCCACGGGGACAGAACGCCGAGATGGATCTGCTGAGCCTTCCAGTGAGCTCAGTCTGGCGAGCTGGGCAGTTTGCAAGGCATCCCAGTTAGCCTGGCACCCTGGTCCCACTGAGCCAGCAAAGGGAAGGGGTGTCCCCAGCCTAAGAAATGTGATGAGCTGATGAATTTTGGGGTTATTTGACACCACACAATGCTTTTGCTCTTCACGCTCCTTCTGTGTCTGTTCCCCCGTTCACCTTTGCCATTTTGCAGAGACTGTCAGTGGACTCACAACTGAAAATGAGCAGTTTCAGCAGCACTCCTCTTCCCTAATGAAAGCAGTGTGAGGGCAAAAAGTCTTGTGCATAAGTACATGCCTCAGTCTTGAGTATTTTTAAAACTTTTACTGCACCTGAAACGAATCTGGACCAAACAACACCTTTAACCAAACCTCCATCATCACACTTTTACCTGTCACTTTAACACTGAACAACAACACTGACTGCAGAGTTTACCTGTCTCAGCCACCATTATGGGGACAGGAAGGTAAAGACAAGAACACTGTGTTGCTGACAGTGTGGTTTTGTTTGGCTTCTCACATTACGAATGGCGCAATTCCTAACAATATCAGTGTGAAGGAGATAAAAAGCACCACATTCTCAGTAGCTCAACATCTTGGGCAATCAAGTTCAAAAACTGCACTGAGAGCAAGCATAATTTACATGTGCCAGGTGGGGTCTGGGCATAATACCATTATCATGTCTCTGGAGGAAACCCTCTCTTATTTATGTCATATGGTCATTGCTTCAATACATTTTAAACTGTGTTTCCAAGGAAAATATGCTGAGGAACTTTGTGTCTCCACACATCGAGGTTTGATTGCCTGTAGCTGATCCATCAGACCATTCCCCCTCCCTTCACAGTTTTGGAAAAGTCAATCAATTCCAGTTGCCCTTGACAAAGAGGTATATGCCTTATTGAGCAAGGGTATCTTGATAGAGAAGTGTTGGTTTTCCATTAGGACCCTTCATGGGAAAGTCTTTAATGTAACATCAGTCCTTACTAGATAGCAGAAAATCTGCACAAGACTCTATTGTAGAGAAATACATCCAGAAAAAAGAGCCTCCAGAGAGGCAGTTGATCACACAAATCCTTGCTTCCAACTGCTTCAGCCACCCATCTCCTATAGGGATTCACTACATGTTAAGTTTTCCTCTTCCACTATTTCAGGTGGCATAGTGCACAGTCAACCTCATATGATTTTTATGCATACATTAGGAAAAAAAAAAAGAAGGAAAAAAAGGGAATCAGTGAAGGTTTTTTTTCCTTGATAAGCTGAACAATAAAAAAACCTGTGCTTTGTGCATTTGCTTTCCCAAAGTGATCTCTGGTCTTAAGGAAAGTGTAGATTTCTCTAGCCTGAAGGACAAACAGGAAAAATTGTGGTTACTATGAATGTTCCATTGCAGCTGCAATGGTGCTGAGTCCAATAACTTACTCACAGAGGGTGAGGATTTCTGTGCCAGAGTAAGCTGCATTCATTTTCAGAGTTCCTGGGAAAGGTGGTCTGAGGCCTGATAATCCATGCCATTACATCTCCATCCTGATGGGAGCCCCCAGGGTGCAGCATACACAGCCAGCAGTTACCAGAGCAGGAGAGCACACAGCCCATCCTCTCCCCTGCTCCTCTTCAGCAGAGGCTGGCTGGTTTTGATTCCCTAGTTATCCTCCCCAAGCATGGCCTGACAAGAGTTTTCAGATGCATTCAAATGACAGCTCTCAAGACTCCTGGTCCTTGTTGTGTGTGGTGAAGAAAGAGGTGCTGCATTCCACTACTGCTGGCTAAGTGAGTGCTTGGTTCTAGATCAACTGCAATGCTTTCCCAGAAATGGCCAGGAGGATTGACTATTGCAGCCTTCTGCAAAATGGCTCTGCCTTCAAACTACTGTGTTTGTCTCCAACACTATTTCTTTTTGAGGTCTAGTGTCTTCTGACATCCAGTCTCTGGGCTGGGCTTCCTGTGACTAAAAACCCATCTTCCACCTACACCCTTTTTCCACTACCTGAATCCAAGATCACTTTGTTTTTATACTAGGTCCCATCCTCCAGGTTCATAGAGTCCTCAAACAAAAACTGCCTGGAGACTTGAGATTAGCCTCTGGCAACTTTTGGTCAGCAAAACCTTCTTGCCAAACCCGAGCTTGGGCCTTGAGCTGCTTTAGGAGAGAAAGATGAGGAGCACGGAGTGTGGGACCACTGTTCATGTAAGAGGAGACTCTCATCATGTGGCCTCACACCAGCGGCCATCATTGCGCAGCCCAGACCAGACAGGAAACGTGATGTGCTGCACTTCAGAGAATTCTATTTCTGTATGGAAAAGAGAAAGGGCTGTGAGGACACGTTTGCAGGTCCATGTCTATCTGTGAACCGGGAACCATCAGGCTGTGGATTTGCATTTGTACATCTGCCTTGGCTTGGGATGTGAAGGCAAAGAAAGGGGCTATCTGTCTGCAAAGGTGAGGGCATAGGAAGCTTTGGAAGAAGGTGAAAACATTTTTGTATCTTTTTCTGGCCTGTTGAATGGACAAGCCATACAAAAGAGGCACTGCAGCTACTGCAGGGTGGTATTGCCTGGCTGGACTAGCTGCAAGGCTCAGGTCAGAGAGGGATGGTTCTTCCTTCTGTGGAGTGAATGGGGTGTTTGGCTGGGTAGGGAGGCAGTGGAATGGGTGTTCTTGTGGTGTCACACCATCTGCAAGTGTGAGGGTGTGCCTCAAACTTGTTCACACTCAGCATTGACCTGGTTCTACCCCCGCTGTGATCCAGCATGGGTCCTCTAAAACTGGGGCAGCCATGTCTGGTTTCATTCAGGTGTTGCTCAGGTCAGTAACTCCAGCTATTTTTCACAAAGTAGTCCATGGTATTTCTACTGTAGACAGACTCCTGCCCCCAGTTTCAAAGTGATCTGTAAACTTGTGTAGACCCTGAGAGCAATATGAGTGATCCATTTGGATGTCTAAAAGAGGAAGCTATGGGTCTTGCAAGTATCCCAAGAGGTCCTTTTTGCTTTCTTGACTCCCAGCAATGGTCTGAAACTGGTCCCAGAATGTCTGAGCATTGCTAACACCTGACCCCTCTAACCCGTTTCTGCACTTACTGCTTTATCAGCAGGAAGTAGAATGTGGTTTGGTTTTGTTTTTTTTTTTTTTTATTCTTGGCCTTACTAGCCTTTTCGATACTCTGGGGCCTTGTCTCAGTCTGACAAGGCAGGCAAGCAGCAGCTTCCTGTGCACAGGTGAGAGGGAGAAGACAGAGACCATGCGCATGTGAGAGAAGCAGCTTTGGAGCAGAACTGCTGGGGTGTAGGCACCTCTTCTCTCATGGACACGCACTGAGCCAGGATATCTGCCTTCATCGCTCTCCCTTTTTCCCTTCACCCTTCTCCTCGCTGTTTGACATTCAGCACCTGCTGCCGTCCAACCTCCGACCCCTTTGTCGGGACTGCTCAGTACCTGGAGCTGGAAGGTAAAGGGGGCAATGCCAGCTCTCTCCCACATGGGGCTGGCTGATCTGAAAGCATCTTAGAAGGAGTTTCAATCTGACAAACTGAATCTTGCTGTTGGGAAGGGCTGAGAACATATTTATCTCTCTGTCTCTCCACAGTCCTCTCAAATCATACCCCGCATCTCACAACCATGCCGCCTGCTTTCTCTCTTTCTCTCTCCTGTCTGCTAACGTGTTGTCATCATGTTTTTCTTCCTCTGAACCTAATCTTTTATCACAACGGGAATTGGTGTTAAGCTCATGCTGGCCCTTTATAAACCCTCTCTTCACACCCCTCTGGCAGTCCCAGCAAGGTCCAGTGGGGCTTCCATCTTGTTCTCCCCAGGTCTGCCTGAGCTCCAGGGTTGGTGAGAGGTGGGGGCGGTTCCTTCTCCTGTGGGCAAAGGCAGATCCCAAGGTCCGGGTGTCCGGGTGGATGGGGAAAGAGAGAGGCTTGGATGAGAAGACTGTAAGGTCAGTCTGCCTAATATGGAACATGACTGTACAGGCTTTATAAGACAAGGAGGCTCCCTGGGTGCTTTGGCTGGATGAGGGCTGCTGCTGAGTTTCCTACTTACAAAGCCCAAATTTTCTTATACGCCTAAAATCATGACTCCTTCCAAGGCAGAGCAAGGGGTCTACTTGGAGGGGATGATGCATAGTTTGTGAACTACTATGTAGTATTTTTTATATGGTAAAGCCTTGACTTTCTAGAATGTGGTAAACACTTTCTTCTCCCTGATTCCCCCACCTGTCCCAAACATGCTATTCAAAATCTGCCTCCTAAGCCATGAGCTCTGCAACTAACTTCTGTCAGTTGCATCCAAGGACCCTGTTACTCAGCAAGCACCTAGTTATTTCAGCCCTAGGGTTTACCAAAAAAAGAAGCTCTTCAAAGCACAAGCTGTGCACAGCCGAGGCAGCACTCTCTACCTGAGTCAGCAGGCAGCCTGAGACAACGCGCACGGACTGCTGTGCGCTCACTCACGCGTTTTCAGAAGACATGATTCCTGCAGGCAGCCTCTGTGCTGCCCTGTGAACAGCCTCACTGCTGAGCAGAGCACCCAAGGCAGGAGAGCAGTGAGGTGCTGAGGGGAAAGACTCTGGAGTGGAAGGGATATGAGTTTCTGAAGCTAGAAGACTGGCACTGCATCCTAGGACAGTGGATGTCTCCTGTGAGATGACATCTTAACATCTTCCTAAGTTTTCTTCCTGAGCTGTGTTGTGGGGTTGTCTTCTCTCTTTCAGTGTGTCACCAGTACTGATGAAGCCCTCACTGCTGCTGCTGTCTCACCTCTGCTTGTTCAGCTTCATGCCTCCCTCGTGGGCATCAGACTCAGCACAAGGTAAGAAGCGATTCTTTTCACCTGTGCTGGCTGGGTGAACAGGGAGGGGAGTCAGCCAGGGCAGGGTGTGTGCCATGTATATTGCTGTGCAGTGTTTGTGTTGTAACGTGCAGCCAGAGGAGGCTGCAATATTACAGGTCTCTGATGGGCACATCAGCCTACAAGGATATAGGGAAATGAGTGGCACTGCTTTTCTTACTTGGACTTGTCCAGCAGAGGATTCAGTCAGTAGTTTGGGATGGGGCAGCATTGTCCGGAGTGGTGATTAACACCAAGCATCATTGTTAATTGAGCCACATTGCTGTCTGTCTCTTCTCTGCTGGCAGGTGCCTCCAGCCTCACTTGTTGGTATGACTCACGGGCGGCTCTCTTCTGCGACTGGGACCCGGGCAGGGACCTGGCTGAAGCACCATGCCAGCTGGAGATTTTATCAAAGAAAGGCTTTTGTGACAGGTGGGTGACTGGAGAGACTGAGGAAAAACAATGCCATTTTACAAAAATGTAGGCTTCCCCTTCCAGGCCAGGTATAGTGGAGAGAGCTGAGATGTTTTGTCTTGAACTCTGTCTCTATGTCCATGTGGGCTGAGATGCTGGCAGCCACTGCTCAGTGTTTGCCATCTGAGAGTCCCAAACTGTCTAGCACAACCCATCTTCCAGCTCCATGGCTCTATCTGAACTTCACTTTTCAAAAAATCCCTCTTCTTTGGCAGACACCCCCGGGACTGAAAGGCATTTTCAATGGAAAATGAGGATGTATGGAGATGGGGCTGGAGAAGGGTGGAATTGAAGTTATACAGAGGCCATTTGGCAATGGCCAGGATGAGCTGAGATGTTGCACCTTGTGTAATCATGAATGAAGAAAAATACTGTCCCCCCTTCTCTTCCCTGGCTCTTTTGTCTCTTCCAGTTCATGTTTTCCTCTCCCATGTGCCTCCCAGCAGAGGGGAGGTGTTTGGCCAGTACTGCAGTGGGGGCTGGCTGAGTCCCTGTCATCTCCAAATGGGATATCTGCAGCCAAGAGGCTTACCAGCCAAGCCCAGGACTGCCCTGGGTGCCTGCCACAAGGAGAGGCTCAGCGTGATTCTGTCATTGGGTGGGTTACTTGTCACTGTCATAGAGACACCTCCAGCTGGGTTAGATTGGCAAATGTATCTTGGGGCTGGTGCACGGCTCTAGAAAGCTAAAACACTGGTGTTGCTCCAGAATCAGAGACTGTGGCTGGAATTGGGACTGGATGTGGAACTGTGTCGTTCTTTGGCCAGGGCTCTAGGAAGAAAACCCTCCTCACTGTCAGTGGGTCCCAGGCCTGATCTGACCTCAGACCTCAGTCAGACACTGCCCCACTGCAGCCCCACAGATGCTCTCCACCCTGCCACACCCCGTGCCATAGCTCAGCTGGGGCTCTCTTGTCAGAGCAGAAGAGAGGTCACGGTGTAGTGCTGCCACTTGAGATGTACTGTCCTGGCTGACTGAGATGTGACCTGGCTCAGAAGGTACGTGTCACTGAGTATCTGAGATCCTACAGGACTGTCAGTGTCTGGAAGGAGACTTGTAAATCCTAGAGGGGTGAAACAGGCACCTGTCTTCCAGCACCAGGTTGCTGTAGGTGATTTGGGCTCTGTATGCCCTCTGATATCAACAGGAAGCAGAGAAGATAGGAAGAGGATTTTGTGAAATCTTTGAAACTGGAAATCTGCTGTTATATTTGGCTTGAAATAACTGGGGTGCATTGACTTCCATGTGCCAGCACATAAAATTTGTCTGAATGATACACTGGGGAGAGAAATTAGGATTAAATCTTTACTGTAACCTGTTCAGCAAATACAGTAGGATGAAAAATGCTTTGAAAGCCCTTTAGTGTTACATAATGTTGACTAACTACAAACTATAACTTTCCAGCTTACTGGAGTTATATCCCTCACCTGAAAAACGCAAGAAGCACTGCAAATTACCCAAGGCAGAGGATATGACAGGACTGAGGAGATGCATCAAAACCTTCAACCAAAATGTTAATGTGAGTAATTCATCTGGGATGTCCTGGCTAAGGACAAAGGGGAAAGGATTTATATATGCATTTTGGGTGTATAAGCAGTGCAACATCCAGGGGTAGTATAAAAAGCCCAAACGTAGTCCCTGGGTCCAGATCTGGGATGGGGCTTGGTGTTGTGTGCTGTTGATATAGGTGCTTCCCGTGGGCTCCTCTGCAGGAGGGATTGGCTTCATTGTGAGCTGTGGTGGCACATTCAGAAGAGCTGCAGGACAGACAGATCATAGGCAGCGTCCCGTGTCTGAATCACCTGTGTTTGAATCACCCTTCCTCTGAGGAGGGATGGGCATCACCACCAGCTCTGAGGTCACCTCTTGATCTCTTTTTCCTGGAAATAACCAATACCACTTTCCAGATCATTAGTTACTGTGAAGTGTGGTTAGATGTATCTAATGCAAGATGCAACAGCAACACATCATTGGAGCTAATGGTGGTGCAAATCTTTTAGCTATTATTCTTTATTTAAATCAGCCTTATTTTGGATCCATTATGTACTTCTTTCAGTCACATCCAGTGTCACTGCAGTTCCCGTGTTTTCAGAAAACACCCACCCAAATTTGAGCTAATATTTTTATTGGTAAAGTCACAATCAGTTCTAATGACAGACAAGCTTTCATACATTTGCATAACATGTGCAAAGACAAATTGTAGGGTTGGTACAAAGCTCCAAAATCTTTTCTTTCTAATCAAGATAATTTCTCTGTTGCTTATTCAGTACTGTAGGATGTATGTGGCCCTTCAGCATCACTGCATTTCAAGTGTCAAGTGTAACACTAATGTGATTTCAGTCTTACCAGGGAACATAAAATGATCTGGTAAAAATAAAATTTCTCAATAAATGTCACCCATAGGGAGTAACTTTTCTCCTGCTTAGTCAGCACATATAGGAAACTAGCGTATCACAATATTTTGGGCCCTTCTTGCCAATATACAAAACAAACAAAAAACTCCAATCACATGAAATATAAATTTTTGATTCTTCACTCACCACTGAGATTTATGCCCTTCTGCCACAAGTACCTTCCATATTTATTGTCAAGTATGCCTAATCATCTTATGCATAGGCAATGCTTAGAAATTTGAATGCTTATTCACGAGGTTTCATTGCCACTAATGGTTAATTTTCCTTGCAGAATCAGTGCTTCACCATTTCAGACCGTCTTAACTTGTCTGTCCACTGCCACACTGGAGAGAATAAAACCATAATACCTGAGCAAATAAAAAACTTCAATCCATTTGAAAATAGTGAGTACTCATCTGCCTTCTGGTCCCTAAAACTTCCTCATGAGAGGATAGCTAATTTTCCTTCCTCGTCTGCTGCTATGCAACACCCACAGCTGATTTTAGGCCTTTGTCTTTTGCTTGTCCCCTGCTACAATGAGCACAATACTGACTCCTGCCACTTGCTCCTCTGTCACGCAGTGCCATGCCAGCCACATTCTGTCCTGCCCCATATCTGGCTTCAAACTGGTAATGATAGCTGCCCTCATGAAAAATGTGTGCTGCAGGAAGGATGGGAAGTCTTGCTGCTCTTCCTCTGCCCCCTCTAGTTATGTGCTTTCTCCCTTCTTTAAGACAGCTTTGGCATGTTTCAGTCTTTGCTGAAAGGATTCAGCTCACTAATCCAGAAGAAGAACGTCTGCTTGGGACATTGTTTTGCTGGCTGTGTGAGTTTACCCGTCTCAAGATGTCCTGCTGCTGAGGGGCTTGGTGTGCAGTCCTGTTATGGACAGAGTATGGGGATATCAGCCTTGCTTCTTCTCTCTTTCCAGTAAAGCTGAGGCCTCCAGGAGACCTTCAGCTGGTTAACATAACTGAAAACACCTCCAACCTAACATGGAGCCTGAATATTTCCTCTCACTATTTGCATGGGATGCGGGAGTACCAAGTGCGGTACCGACATGTGAGTCAGTCCTGGGAGGTGAGTACGGAGGGGAACTTGGGACGTGTTACCATGTGAGTCCTGGATGAATCCTGGTCTTGTTTATGTCCCCCAAGACTTGCTCCTGGGCCTCCTCTCGGGATGTAAGCAGTTTTGGTGAAGCTGGAGGGAGGATGACAGCCCCTGCCCTTTAGTCTGTGTCACCTGCTGCCAGTGTTTGGTGATGACAAGGAGGCAGATGGGGATCCTATTTTGCTTAGTGCTGTCACAAAAAAATTCAGACAGTTCCAGGACAGACCTCAAAGGTATGGGAAAAGCAAAGCAAAGAAGAATTTTCCTTCAGGGTGAACAAACTGCGCACAAGGTGTAAGGACTTGAGACAAGTCTTCTCTGAGGGTTTTGGAGAAGATGGGTCAGAGTTGACGATGTCCTAAATTTGCCCTACTCCCAGGAGGCTGCAAACTTGCCCATTGAACAGGACCAGATGTGGACAAATTTTGAGAGACTCTCTCCCAACTCAAAATATGAGGCATCTGTCCGTGCAAGGCCAAGTGCCAGAAGCGCCTACAAAGGCGTATGGAGTGACTGGAGCAAGCCAGTCCTGTGGAGGACACATGCTGACCATAAGGGTAAGTCAGGGAGTCTGACCTGGAGGGGAAAACAGGGACTCAGGGCAAACAAGGTAGAATGGCCAAAAGAGGGTGAGAAGCAGAAGGAAGATGTGTAGGGAGAGCTGTATTGACCAAAGAGTAATGGAAAGGTTGAAGACTGTCCCTCCTGATCTGTTAGGTGGGATCATCTCAGCATCACAGCTTAAGGCCAAAGACCCCCTGACCTCAGCAAAGCCACTCTCACTTCCAGAAACCAGGTAAAATCCACAAGGTATAAATCAGGGACTGCTTCCCCGGAGCAGTAAGGCCAGGTGTCTAACCAGCCAAAGCAGTGGCCAAGACTGGTATTTTCCCAGATGCTAATGTTACCTGGGAACATTCTCCCAGCTTCCTAAAATGGCCCAGTTCAGTGTAGGTATTGATCAGTGAAATGCAGTGAAACAGCTCTCAGCTCCTGAGCTGAGGAACACCCGAGCTTGGGAAGCAAAATCTCATGGAAACTGGGAGAGACGTACTGATTTACATGCATGATAAGACTCTTTCAAAAAAGGTCTGCTGAGATTTGCATCAGTCACTGTATGAACTTCCAGCCTTGGAAGATAATGCCCTTCAGTGTGCCGGTGGCTGTGGCCTCTGTCATTTTTTTTTTTCCAAAAAATAATCAGGTAGAGGTTATTCCTTCTCATATTGCCCCCATCCTTCGTCTGCTCAACCCCTCCCTGTTGTTCCTGGTCTTGGTATAAACAGAGGAGCTATGTTTAGAAAGGGCACTGTGTTGCTGTGGCGATCAAATTTTGACAGTGTGTGATGTCAGTGAATTGGATACAGCCGCAACCAGTTGTCATAGCAACCAAGACCCAAAGATAACCAGGCTACCAGAGGCAGAGGAGACAAAGTGATCTGAGTAGCATCTCAAGGACAGGGAAAGAAAGAATGTGCTAAAAATGTCCCCTCCATCTTTTATTTCTCTCTGTTCTCTCCTAAATGCTCCAGAGATTCTCTGCATGACCAGGCCTAGGGACACAAGGGATGGGAGGAGATGAGGGGCAGGCAGAGGAAACAGGCACCAGAATAGCAAGACCAAGGAAAGGTGCACTGGGGAGATATGTGTGAAAGAGACAGATTAAGGAATGTTTGAGATGATGCCAAACAAGCCTGAGGAGTGCTGGCAGCCCTTGCAATGTGGGAACCCAGTCTCTTTGTCCTAACCCTACAATCCAAGTACTAAAACATGGTGTAAAGCTGTAATCTTCCTAGCCTCCTAATGCTTCCCTACACCTCTCCAAAGAAAGAAGCCAGTCCCTTGATCCCTAACCTTCTGTATCCTTATCCTCTTGCCTTCTCAGAGACCTGTGAACCCCATGACTCTCTCTCCCCCACTGACCATTAATGCTGTTTCAAGCCTCCAACCCCACTTTAGCTGGTTTTAGAGTCCCTGCTTTCCTTGGCAATGAAACAGGTTGGTGGACACCTCAACTAGCAGACTGTGCCACCTCATCTGTGACCACCCCTAGCTGTGGTGCTGTTATGACCAGGGAGTTCAAGCTTTGTTTGTTCAGCACAAATTATCTCTTAAGCAATGCTTAGACTCTGAAACCCATATCAGCTCAAAGGCTTCCTATACAGAACTCACATATACTCTGACCTGTATATTAAAATTCTAGATAATATTACAACATTATATAAAAATTGTAACAAAGGCCCACTTTGATCACCTTGAACAGCCATGAAAGGGCTGCAGCTTCTACCTACAGAATCCTGGTTGGATTTTAACAGCCATTTCCTCATTCTTTCTCATCTTGCAGGAACATCCCAGCCAGTCCTGCCAGTTCTGATAGTGAGCACTTTCATCTTTGTGATCATTGGGACTGCTTTCCTCATTAACTTACGGACCCTGAAATGGTAATTGAGAATTAAGTTTACGTCTCTGTTCCTCTCCTGTATCTTGTGTGTATTCTCAAAACTCAGATTATTTTTCTCCTGGTGTTACTCAGGATAGAGATGGCTTTAAGCCAACCAATTTATGGTTTACAGCCCAGCCTCCTGAGACTGATATTGGCCTGTGGAAAAATAACACCACCCAGGATGATGTGGTTTCACCAGCACTGTCGTATTGTGCCATTCTCCTGTGACCTGGTGCCATGCCCTGGCTAAATTTAAAACAGCTGCCTCAGCACATCTGTTGCCCAGGGGTTAGAGTGGTGTTTCCTGGCAGGGATACATCAAAATTCCCTCTTCAAAAGCAGATCACTGTGTTGGGAACTCTCCCTGTAGCGGGGACCAAGCAAGCCTGGTTACCATTACCTTCTCATTTAAACATTCCAGCAAGAGCTCAGGCAGGATGAGATGACATTGGGCCTGCAGGCAAAATTCCCAAGTGAGGAGCACAGTTCTGCTTCTTCCTGGTCTGTGCAGTCCTCACACACTGATAAAACCTATATGATGCTTCAAGACCTCTTTGCCAGTGTTTCTACCCAGACACTGCTTTTATTGAGGACTGAAAGGGTCTCACAAGGTTACTCAACACCATAATAGGAACAGTGACCTCTCAGCTTGGCACAAGGTTAGAAACAGCCACAGGTTTTCCCATCTCAGGTCAGGGGTAAAGAAGCAGGGTGCTGATATTCATGGCAGGGAGCAGGGACAAACATTCTCGGGGATGAAGTTGCAGAGGCTGGATGGTTTCTCTGTAAGGAAAGACAGAGAACCATGCTGAAGGAAGATGGATACTGAGAAAGTCACTGGTCGCTATTTTGCCCTGAGTCACAACACAAAGTTGAGGAAGTGCTAGATGTACAGCACAGAAGGAGTTAAAAAGGCCTCCTTTCTCCACAAAGTATAATTAACCTAGGGGAATTGAGTGCAGAATAATGCTGAGGTAAGATGCAGGAAGGATTAGACATGCATGAATAAAAATAGCATCTGCAATGATGTAAGGTAGTTTATATGCAAGAGCTAGCAAGCTCTGATGCTGCAGTGAGTACACGGATTGCCTCCAGAGGTCAGGAGGGTTTTTCCTCACAACATCCTACAGCAAAGCTTCAGCAAAGGGATGACAAGATGATCCAACCACTCTGAGAAGCTGAGGAGCAGATTAGATCACTCCATGCTGCCTCAGGATGACAACACACTGGTTCCAGGGAAGGAGAGGCCTCTGGACAATGCAAGGCATACTCATTCAAATGGCTTGCATGGCCTGTGTGCCCTGGCTATGCCATGCAGCATCCTGCTAGGAGGGCAGAGAGCTGTGGCAGAGCTTTCCCAGGGATGGCCCTGCTCAGGCCACATGGTCCTGAGTCATTGTGGTGATAGCAAAGCAAAGAAGGGGCAGCTCACAGCAGTGGGAACTTGGAAACACGGGAGGCCTGCTCAGCTTGTCATCAGGACAGGGGCTGAAGGGGGCAGGTGGAGAGGTTAAGGTGACCAGGCAAGGCAGGGAAGAAACCAGTAAAACCAGGGGTTGTCCTTCCCCAGGGAAAAGGCTGGGGGAAATGTATTTTCCAGTGCCAGGTTTATCTGTCTCATCTCCATGCATCTTGTGGCGCAGTAGTGCCTCTCAGACCCTCGAGAGGAAGGAGAGGCCTCAGGCTCGAGTTTACCTCTTCCCCCATGCCAGGGCAGTACCTGGGAATTGCAGGGCACTCTTCCACCCCCACCACAGTGATGGTGATCAGGATCAGGCTCTGCTTCATTTGTCCTTCTTATTGTCTCTCCTTAAGGTTTAAGAAGATCCTGAAGATTCACATCCCAGACCCTGAAAAGTTTTTTCCCCCACTCGTTTCAGTTCATGGAGGTGACATTCAGGTATGGGCTGGGGATGGAGCCATGGTGGGGAGAAATAATGGAAAGGAGCAGCCAGTTGCACGTGCCCAGGACAGACAGACCTACACATGCACACATGATATATGCGCCTGTAGCACCAGCTGCTGGGTTCTCTGCTCACGTTCTATTTTCTGACCTTCTAAAACCTGACACTCAGCTGAGGCATCTCTAATTACCGAACAAAGAAATGGCAAACCACACAAAGCACAGCACCCTGCTCCCCTAATCGGCAGCCTGAGAGACAGCAAGGGACCTGCAGGAAGGAGCTTGGCCTCTCAAGATCCCCCTCCCTCCCAGTTCAGTGCCTCCCTACTTGCCCTAGGTTGCCCAGTTTGTCCCCAGATTTCCTGCTGTGAGCTTCTCCTCTCCTCCTGTTGTGAATTGCCATCACACTGGATAGCACCTAGCTATTCCTTGCATTCTTGTCTGTTTCCCTTCTTTTCCCACTCCACTATTCCCCTCCCTAGGCTCTCTGTGAGCATGGGCAGCTGCAAGGAGACAATTACCATTCTGTGCAGCATTAAAGAGAGCGTCAGATGCAAGACGTGGGAGGTGATCCCAAGGGGCATCTTGCTTTAAGGAGGATGGAAACAAACTGCAGAGGGCTCAGAAACAGCAAAGCTTTGGAAAAGCCAAGGTGTAAAATGCTTAGAAAGCTTAAACTGCAGGGAAAGAGTACAGAGTAGGGGGACAGGGTTGTGCAGCCGGCACTCAAGACACTTTATCAGTGCAGAAAGAACTTGAAAAATTTGCTTCACAAGCCATAAAGGCAATGGATTTGGGTGTTATCGAAACCAGTTTATTTTTAAGGATAATGATGCACTGAAGGATGTTGCTCATGATGACTATGAAAATTAGGCACAAGGGGCCTGGAAGAGCACTTTAGACAAGAAATCTGCATACGGCCATGTGGATGTATGAGAAGCTTGTTCAGCACCTAGGAATAGATTGCATGAGATGCATCTCAATACTGTTTTTCATGCTTCACTTCATCTTATGGTCTTGTAAGGGTTTTTCCTACCTTTTTTATTCCCTTTGTTTCACTTTAATTCTCCATCTTAAATTCCCTACTCCAGAAATCTCAAAACATAGGCTGACAAGATCCACTCTTAATTTTAATGTGACAGAACGACATACTCTCTCTGAAAATACTGCAGATGAGACATCATGAGTGGGAATTTCCCTCCCCACCACCTCGGGTAACCCTTACTTGGACAGAAAAGGGATCACTTGATTGCTGTGGCCGTAGTTGAAGAAATCTTTGGTTCCTCTCTGAGTGCAATACTTTGGTAGTCACAGTCTCTCTCTCTCTTGTATTTCTTCCCCACCAGAAATGGCTTTCCTCCCCATTCTCCACATCTTCCTACTGCGTGAACAGCACAATCCCAGAGATCTCCATACTCGAGGTGATGCAGAAGAATGACCAGGAATCCCGGTTTCTACTTTCCAAGGGAACCCTGACTCCTGATCCTCCCACAGAAACCAGTGTGCACTCTGGATCCAGCTGCTTCACCAACCAAGGCTACTTCTTCTTCCACCTTTCCAACTCCTTTGAGATTGAGCCCTGCCAGGTCTACTTCACCTATGAACCTTTCAGCCAGGAGGTCAGCGGCAGCAAGGATGGTGACTGCTACCAGGCTCTCCCCTCTCCAGACCTCTGCACACTGGCAGAGGACGTGAATGTGTTGCCCAACAACTTCTTTCACTGTATCGAGGGAACCCAGGGCTTCCAAAAGGGCTCCTTCACGGAAGAGACAGCAGGTGAAGCCCAACAGGCCATGGCTGCTCCTGGGGCTCTCCAGTCGAGTGGAGGCACTTCACCAACACCGGTTCTGGAACAGGATGAGAAGGTGATGGACAAAGCAGCTTCACAACCAGCTGAGGCCATGTGCCAGCTGGACACCGACTTTCCTGACCCACGGGACCTGCAGGACAGTGATACTGTCAGTGTAATGGAGGGGAGTGAGAAGGGGGGGCCTCCAGCTGACCCCTGTACACCAGCAGCCAATGCTTCCTTCTCCCAGCCTCCACCTCCAGCACAGAGACAGGATGAGCAGCCGTGCAAAACAGCCTTCTCCAACAAGGTCCCAAGCACTGGAGCCTACCTTTCTCTGAGGGACCTCCAAAGCCAGTACAGCCATTGCTCTGTCCAGGATCTGCCTGGAGGAGACCCACAGGTGGGAAAGGCCACCTCTGCAGGGAAGGCTAGATAGATGGACAGTTTCTGTCCTCAGGACACGAATGTAACTTCAGCATCAATCCCATTGGGACTGCTCACTAATGAGGCTGGAGAACGCAGACTAACAAGGACTTGCCTTCACAAGAAAATCTGGTTTTCTGTTAATACTGGCTCCAATGGCATAGAAATTCCTCACACTTCTCAGGTGGCACTCCAAACCTCACCGATTAATTTTTCCCCTCCCAGATCCCAGTAGGAGACTGTGCCAACACTTCCATGCTCTGCATTTTGGTGTAAAATAGCAGTCAGCTTTGAGGCTGAGCAGGTGTATGATCAGTTTGCCTCATACTGGCCTAAAAACCTCAGATAGGACAGAGAAATGCCTGAAGATGTAGCTATGAGATTTTTATACAGGGGCCAATAACACTGCCAGTCAGTGCTGGGGTTGATGATGAAATGGATGAAGACATCTCCTCCTGACTGACCAAGGGTGTGATTTTTTTCTATGATGTCCTCACTTTAAGTTTTAATCAGAGATTACATTCTAAGCTACTTGGTCCAGCTTTAGACTTTAGAGTCTAGACCTTGGAGTCTCTAAGGTCGGCTCAGAGCCACAGCTGTATCAGCTGTCTAAGCGGTGCAGTGTAAAAAAGAAATCCCCATTACTGAGTTAAAAATACTGGGGAAATCCCCTCCCTCTTTTTCTTCCCTCCAGCTCTGATGGTGGCAGTAAAAAGAACTCACACAGTTTCCCATTCTTGCTACAATATTTTTCATGAAATCGAAAGCCTTTCTGCCCTGCTGGCAAACTACAGTTATTTGACTATGATAAGCTGATTGCAGAATAGTTCATCCCACATCCTGTATAAGTGGAAAACATCACAGCAGTGCTGCCCATTTCTTCCACTGCTGAAGGGAAACCATTGCCTAATTATCAGCAAAGATGTGGTGAATGAGCCCAGAAAACTAACCCACGAATCAGCACCTTTACTGAAAAGAAAACCTCAATCCACTTGCAAAGAATGGGGATAGCACAGACTTCGTTTTTCTTCTTCCTCTACATGCCCTGATCTGGCTTAGAAAAAGCCACAGAAGGAAAGTGGTAAGGCAAAGGAAGATCCCTGCATTCACCATTTGTACCATCTGTCCATTTTCTTGCCGTATTTCTGGCCTTTTCAGCAGTGGGGAAAACCAGCCATGTGCTAAGAGTTCTTCCCATCTCTTAAAAACTCTTCTAATTTATACCAATTATATAGAGAATTTATACCAAAAACTTCAAGGATATTGAACTTGTTAACACTTCTGTCACAGCTGTGAGTGTCAGCTAGAGCTAATTCTTTCCTATCTCTGTCTGTCCAAGCATTGAGATTCCTGCTCCTACACTGTTAGCTGACACTGCAGCATGCATCCTGAATGTCATTAGGAGTCCCAGGTGCAAGGTCCAACCCACTGGCTTGGATTTCACCTGAAAAGGGCTGCTCAGATGAGTTGAGCCTACTTGTTGCTGGGAGGACTTCGGGAACTATTCCTCTCCTCTCATCAGTTCCTTCACCATCTGTCTCAAGACACAGACTGCTCCGTTGTGTCCAGGAGAAAACTGGAGACACAGCTTCCCAGACAGGAAAGTACAAGGCTTTCCAAGCTGTTTCCTGTACTCTGAGAATCTTCTCAGGTGGACTTTGAAAATGTTCCCAGAGACACTGACTCCCTTGCCTCTGATGGGCAGTTTCCTATCTTACATGGGCCAAGGATCCAAGCTGCATTGTCCTCATGTAGACTTTCTTAAGCTTTTCTGTTTTCCTTTATAGAATCGTTAAGGGTGGAAAGTACCTTCAAGATTATTTAATTCAAATTTTGACTGAATACTACCATGCCCACTAAACTTTAAATTGCAAAGTGCCACAACTACTTGTTTTCTGAACACTTCCAAAGATGGTGACTCCACCACTTTCCTGGAGAGCCAATGTTTAACCACTCTTTCAGTGAAGAAATTTTTCCTGATAGCCAACTTGAACTTCCCTTGGTGCAATTTGAAGTATTTTGATCTATCACTTGTTATCTGGAAGAAGAGACTGACCTCTACCTTGCCACAACTTCCTCTCAGAGAGTTGTAAGGTTACCCTTGAGCCTTCTTTTCTCCAGGCTAAACAGCCCCAACAATCCCTCAGCTTGTGCTCCATACCCTTCACCATCTCTATTGCCCTTCTCTGCACAGGCTTCAGCACCTCAATGTCCTTCCTGTATTGAGCATCCCAAAACTGAAGACAGGATTTGAGGTGTGGCCTCTGTACAGGGGGATGACCCCTTTCCTGGTCCTGCTGCCCACACTATTCCTGATAAAAGGCAGGATGCCATTGGCCTTCTTGGCCACCTGGGCACACCTGGCTCATGTTCAGCCGCTGTCAACCAGCACCCCCAGGTGCTTTCCCACTGGGCAGCTTTTCAGCCACTCTTCCCCCAGTCTGCAGCACTTCATGGTGCTGTTGCAACCCTGTTGCTAACAGGACCTGGCACCTGGTTGAACCTCATACCATTGGCCTTGGCTCATCAATCCAGCTCCTCCAGACCCCTCTGCAGAGCCTTCCTACCCTGCAGCAGATAGACACTTCTGCCCAGCTTGGTGTCATCTGCAAACTGACTAAAGGGGAGCCCTTGTTCCCCTCATCTAGATTATCAACAGATATTAAACACATCTGGCCCCTATACTAAGCCTTGTGGAACACCACTGGTGACTGGCTGCCAACTGGACTTAACTCCAATTGCCACAACTCTTTGGGTTTGGCCATCCAGCCAGTGTTTCACTCAGCAAAGAGTACAACATCCATGCCATGGGCTGCCAGTTTCTCCAGGACAATGTTGTGGTAAGATAGTGTAAAAGGTTTTACTAAAGATTAGGTGGACAACATTCACAGCCTTTCCCTCTTCCACTAAGTGAAGTTCACCCTGTCATAGAAGGAGAGCAGGCTGGTCAAAGAGGACAAGTCTTTCCTAAACCCATGCTGGCTGGGCTTGATCCCTTTGCTGTTCTGCACCTGCCATGTGATGGCACTCAAGGTGACCTGTGCCGTGATCTTCTGTGGCACCAAGGTCAGGTTGACGGGCCTGTAGCTCTCAGATCCTCCTTCCACCCTTTTTGTAGATGGGTGTCACACTGGCTAACCTCCAGTCACCTGGGACCTCTCTGGCTAGCCAGGACTGCTGATAAAGATGGAAAGTGGCTTGGTGAGCTCTTCTGCAGTTTTCTCAGTGCCCTTGGGTGGGTACCATCCAGCACAAAATGTTTGAGAGTGTCTAAGTGGCACAGCTGGTCACTAACTACTTCCTCCTGTATTCCAGGGGGCTTATTCTGCTCCCTGTCTTTGTCTTCTAGCTCAGGGGGGTGGTTACCCTGGGGACATCTGGTCTTTCTGGTAGAGACTGAGGCAAAGAAGGCATTAAGTAGCTCACCCTCATCCTTAATGACAATATTCCCCTGCCAAGTCAAATAAAGGATGGAGCTTCTCCTTGACCCTCTTTTTTTATTAATGTATTTGTTATTTTTGATAACAGTAGCTAGATTGAGTTCTAGCTGGACTTTCTCCTTTCTAATTTTCTCTCTGCATGACCAAACCATACATCCGTACTCTTACTGAGAATATCTTGCTGCTGAGTACAAAACACCGGGTTTGCTTCTTTGTAAATAAAAAAAAAATTAAGAAATCCACAGTGTTTTTCTGTCCCTTGGGTGAGGGGAAATGATTAACAACTTTTCTAAATAGGGAACTAGGTAAAGTTTTGCTTGGACCAATATACCTTTAGCTCTCCTTCCTACTCCCTGCCCCAAAGGACTCAGACACCTAAAAAAGAAAGCCGAGTTAGAGGTGATCCTGTGGCAAGCTCCTGAGGACTGTCCTGCTAGCTCAGTATTTTTTCACTCCCCCCCCACCCCCCTCGCTTTTTGTGAAAATGTTGACAGCTTTGGAGCTGGCAAGCTGTTAGCGCAGCTTTCGCAGCCATGCTGGGTGTGAATGTGTGACACACTGCGGCAGGAAGTGCTCAGCGTCAGATCTGGCGATAACCGGACCTTTCTTCCAGGAAGACGAGATCATGTGGCCTCGTATGTGAGTAAGGCGGGTTGTGAGTGCCAGAGTCATTGCACTCCCAGTGATTTGGGGACCTTTTGCTGCTGGGCTCCCAAGAGCCTTTTGGAAATGTCACACAGGGAGCGGTCACACGCCGTGCTCTCCCCTCTCGAGCCCACGAGAACACGGCGTGCGGTTCGCAAACCCACAGAAACACGCTACGGCCGTGTCCCTCAGGACCAGAGGCAAAGCAAAGCTGAGCAACAGCACTGTTGTTCACCAACACATTGGTAAGCCAAAACATTGGTGTGGAAAATATCAAGATAACAGCCACAGGCACGAGTCCTCTCTTTATCTTAAGCATAGAGACAGCAAAGACAGCTGTCACATCTCTCATCTCTTTTCCAAGATACCTTGTTCACAAATAGATACCACTCTCAGCCTCCTCCCACATCTCTTCCTTTTTTTTTTTGCTGTGGAGAAACAGAAAGCAAGGGGTACTTGTAGTAAAAAAATTCCTCTGAAGTCAGATCTGATCAAGGGTTTGGGTCCTTGGTTGATTCAAAAGCCTGTGGTGATAGATGTGGTATGCTTGTTTAGATAGATCAGATTGAGATTCTACATTTTTTGTTCTGCTGAAAACACCAGAGAATGAAGATACTTCTTTTCAGGAAAATTTAATTCAAAAAAGTAAGGTCTTTGGTGTTGAGAAATACCTTCAGATGGATTCTAACCCACTGTGGCAAGCCCCTCATAGTGTAAACTCAGAAAATCTATATATGAATGCATTTGTGCCTAAAGATGCTGCTTGTCCCTCATTATCTGTGGAAATTCTGGTTCAAAGTAACTTTTAAAAGTGAAATCAGGTCTCAAATCTCTTGAGTAGTTCTGAAAGCATTCCCAGTCAAACACTACAGCTTTCTACCTACATTGAATGTTTATCTACTAGAATCCACCATGAGGTAACTACAGCAATGGCTTTTGGTCTTCATGCAGTCCCAG